AAATCTTAAAAAAATAAAATAAAGTCATGTTTCCTTCTTAGTGGTGGGTTGAATGATTTTACTTTTCCTTTTTCATGTTTTCTGTATTTTTCCTATTTTCTATAGGGAGTATGTATGATTTTCATGATACAATTCTCTCTAAATTTTATATATTTATTAGTGGATCTAGGAACAAAGAATCAGAAAATTACTAAGTATTATACAAACCTTTCTTCACAGCAGTGAACATATCAGTAATGTCTAAGGCTTTTTCCTTGTGAATTTTTAAGACCTAAGCCATAATATATCATTCAAAATGTGTAGTATCATGAAAACACTTCACTACCAATTCGAAAACTTATGTATCTGAACTTGAAGTCAGAAGGTGTTGCTGCCTAGGGCAACTGGAAGGAGTCCCAAAGGATTTAAGCCCTATCACACACCTGAGACTTTGTGTATGTACAGCCTCAAATTCAATAAAAGTGGTTCACGCTGAGTCCAAATGTCAAACTAACTATGAGATTCAAAGACTAACAGCAAAAATGCTTTTAGATGGCAGCTTCAGGCAAGGACAGACATTGTATGAGTGATCTAAAAGTAGGTGCTGCGCCATTACAGCTTTGCCAACAATACTTACATTCAATGGGAGAATAGACTGTGAAGTATAACATTCTCCTTATTTTACATATACATATATATGCATAATATAAATATGTATTACACAAACAAGCAAACACTACACAGTCTGCAAACAGATATACTCTCTCTGAAATATATACCTACTCCAGGTGTGTGAAAGTTAATAATACACTTGAAAGTGACCAGTGTAACATCACTCATTCCAGGTTGAAAAACACACTACAAAAATTGTTTTTGCTTTTTTTAAAAGATTTATTTCATTTATTTGAAAGACAGAGTTACAGAGAAAAGTAGAGATGGAGAAAGAGGTCTTCCATCCACTGGTTCACTCTCCATATGGCCACAACGGCCTGAGCTGAGCTGATCCGGAGCCAGGAGCCAGGGACCAGGAGCGTCTTCCAGGTCTCCCACATGGGTGCAGGGGCCCAAGGACTTGGGCCATCTACTACTACTTTCCCAGGCCAAAGCAGAGAGCTGGATTGGAAGAGGAGCAGCCAGGACTAGAACTGGAGCCTATATGGGATGCCAAAGCTTCAGGCCAGGGCTTTAACCCACTGTGCCACAGTGCCGGACCCAAAACTGTTTTGTTTTTAAGACATAGGTTTGAATATAAAAATATGTGTGTGTGTGTGCATGTACTTCAAAATACTTGTGGAAAAATGGAATTTAAAGATGTTTATTTTGGTGCAAGAACTTCTGAAATCCATGCCTACTTTATACATGATTTGCATTCATTATGAACTTTTTGAAGACCATTCCAATGTATGGACTTCAAATTTTTTTGCACCAACATTTTTATTATTATTATTATTATTAGAGAGGCAGAGTAAGAGAGGAACAGAAAATAAGAGAGCAAACACTTGCATCCAATGGTTTATTCCTTCACATTGCTGCAACATGCCAAAGCCAGGAGCCTGTAACCCCACTCCGATCCCCCCATTGGTGGCAGGGACCACGTACTTGAGTCATCATCTGTTCCCTTTTAGGAGGAATCTGGAATCTGTGGTCAAACTGGGACTTAAACTCCAGCATTCTGATACTGGCTACAAGTGTCCCAAGCGGCCTCTTAACTGCTGAGCTAAACTCCCACCCCAATTTACCTTTTACTTCTATTTTCTGCAAAAATTTTTAAAATACTCTCATGTACCTAACATTTTCTTTAATTCTCCTTAGCTGACATTTTTTCCACAATTAAATCAAAGTCAAACTTTAAAAGTATGTATCTGTGGGTTTATAAGCATAGTTCCAAACCTGTTTTTATAATTGAGTTGTTTATACAGTTTGGTTTCATAAGATTGAAATGTGATTTTTTTTCAACAATCCTAGTGCCCCATCCAATCTATGACAACGGAATATCATATTTTGGGTCATTGTTCCTTTGTCGCAACCAAAACTGTCCATCAATCTTTGTTTTTAATTTGAGAAGCAAAGACAGTGAGACGGGAGAGAAGGGGAGGGGGGCAACCTTCCATTTGCTGATTCACTCCTCAAATACTTCCAAGGCCTTTGTCTGGACCAGATTAAAGTTTTGAACAAGGAACTCAATCCAGGTCTCTGATGTGAGTAGCAGAAACCCAGCTAGCTGAGTCATCATCGCTACTTCCCAGGGCCCGCATTTGTAGGAAGCTTACATAAGGAGATCAGCTGGGACTCAAACCTGGGCACTCTGAGATGAGACACAATTGTCTTGGTAAGAGTTTTAACTGTTAGGTTAGTTAATTTTTAGTGTGTTCATTTTTCAGCTGTGAATGCATAAGGAAAAAGAGATATAGAGAAAGACAAGAAAACAGGGTAGGTTGGCAATGCTGTGATATCAAAGTAGTTACAGTGACCCTGCTTACCAGCATTCCTAGCTTAACTGCGGTCTTTCTCCTGATTTCACACTCATGATTTCTCCCTAGGGTTCTCTGTCAGTGGATCACAGAGAGATATTGATGGGAGTCTGAGTGGAGACATGGCTGGGGATAGCACTCAGATGGCTCAAAAGTGACAGGCAGTACAAGGACAGCTGCTCAGCTTTAAGATGTCTCTAAATTGCTGATGAAAGCCAATTAGGACAGAGGTACAGATCTTTCTCTTTCAACTAGTTTTCTCAAATGAAATAGCTAAGGGTCTAGCAATTAAAATGTTCAACTGGAAAATACTGGTCTAAAAATAGATATTATGTTAAATACAGTCTTGTCTGGCATCTCTAACTCAGCCTTCTGTGTTGACAGTTCTTATTCTATAACCCCTGGGAGAACCAGGGATTGTCTTTGGTCTTCAGGTAGGAATGGCAAACTGTATATGGTTCTAGTAGCAGTGCTTCTTGGTGTCCGTTGCTCTAGAATAATGACTCTCCTATGTCTTCTAAAAGTCAAACTCCATCTTGCTCTACTCTAATACAAGTTCATAAGCTGGCCATCACCCACTCATAGTACTGGTTATAGATAAGGATAGTATAAAAAAAACATTTTGGGGATCATTTCTATTATTGACCCATTCTTGTATCTTACTGTTTCATAGTCTGTTTAGATTGCTAATTATTGGCCTCAATCAATACCTGCTGCCTGATTTTCAAGGCCCAGTTATCCTCATTCTGCTATCCTCAAATACCCATCTCCCATTCAATCTTTGTTTCCTTAGATCCATATTGTTTTCTTATGATCCAGTTTCCTAGGTGATTTTTCCTATGATTATTCTTACATTTTATGTTATCCTCACTTGAATATACAGCTTTTGTGAAGTCATTCCTACCCTAAGTAATACGGTCAATATGTGCAAGATTTTACCTGCCCTCCATGTTGTCCTCACTGCCTTAGATCAATATGGAATCTCTGACCTTTAGAGCCTTAAAGCATTGCCATAATGTAGTACTTGTATCCAGCATTTTAAAACTCATGAGAGCTTCGTTTAAAAGGCAGAGAACCAAATCATTTAATTAGTCATGGTTCAGAGACATTCTTAACCAATCAGCTCTCAAATACTTCTGCCCTATTATAGTAACTGATTTAATTTTGTTGTACAACAATATCATCCACGAGCTTAACATATTTTGCTTGCTACTTCAAAATGGTTTTAGAGCAACATAAATTTGAAACTCTTGCTATAAATAAGTAGTCCAAAGGAGATTCAAATAGGAATTGCTTACAGAAGTAGTAGCCAAAAGAAGAGAGGTGGAGACACAAGAACTATTTACAGACCAAAGTTATTGGTTAAATACTAAACTGGCTACAAGAAAAGCAACTCAAGTCACAAATGAGAATTACATAAGTAATAAAATTTTCTCGTAGCCATTTTTAAGAAAAAAAAACAGATAAAAAGCAGATTAATTCTACTAGCATTTCCCAATGCATTCCAAATATTAACATTTCATTATTAAATCATTTCTGTATGTATATGTGTGCATTAATTCTGGATCTGATGTGTATACTTTATACTTAGAAATCATCTCAAGCTTGACTAGTCACATTTCAAGTGCCTATTGCGCACCAAAGTCTAGGATTTTGTTATCCTCAATACTAAGGAAAATTGATTTTTAGGAAGAAATAATTAATGATAGGTATATAAGGCAATGCATACTTTTTTTTTGGCAAAGTGGACAGTGAGAGAGAGACAGAGAGAAAGGTCTTCCTTTTCCGTTGGTTCACCCCTCAATGGCCGCTGTGGCCGGTGCGCTGCAGCCGACGCACCGCACTGATCCGAAGCCAGGAGCTAGGTGCTTCCTTCTGGTCTCCTATGCAGGTGAAGGGCCCAAGGACCTGGGCCATCCTCCACTGCACTCCCAGGCCACAGCAGAGAGCTGGACTGGAAGAGGAGCAACAGAGACAGAATCCAGCACCCTGTGGTGCACGTGGAGATTAGCCTGTTGAGCCTCCAGCACTGGCCCCAGTGCATATGTTAATACCTCTACTTAGCCATTTCTCAATGTGAATACATCTTTTAAAAGATTTATTTTGTTAATTTCAAAGGCAGAATTACAGAGAGAGAGGGAGAGATGAGAAAGAAAGATCTTCCATCCACTGGTTCACTCCCCAAATGATTTCAATGGCTAGGGCTGGGCCAGGCCAAAGCCAGGATCCAGGAGCCCCCTCCAGATCTCCCATGTGGGTGGAAGAGCCCAGGGCTTTGGACCATCTTCCGACACTTTCCCAGGTGCACCATCAGGGAGCTGAACTGGAAGTGGAGCAGCCAGGACTCCAATCAATCAATAGCCATAAAGGATACCAGGGTTGCAGGTGGTGATCAATCCTTTATGCCACAATGCCGGCCCCAGTGTATACACATTTTAAAACAACATATTGTACATGATAAATAAATACCACTTGGTCAGTTAAGAATTTTAAAATGACACAAAAACAGTTAATATGAATGAGAGACAATAAAAAATTATTTTCTCTTACCTACACAGATCTTCTTTTATGTGAAGGGAAATCAATTCCTTAGGAATATGAAAAGAAAGTATGCTCTCTGACATTTGCTCCCGGATTCTCATCCACTTATTGTCAGATGTAGGAAATCTATATAATTTACATACTGGGTTCCTTAATACTGGAATGGAAGAAAAGAGAAAAAGGGTAAATTGTAAATGAAACGAAGGCATATCAGGTGATTTTCAATCAGCAAAATCATAAATCAGTATAGCATTTAAATTATTTAATCAAATTATTTTATCAGAATCCATTAGTGTATTTGAATTTTAAATCTGTATAATGAAATACATGAAATTTATTCACCTTATAGAAATAAAAATATATTAAAAATAATTTAAGTCTAATATTTATTTGAGTGGCAGAGAGAGAAACAGAAAGAGAGAGAAGAGAGGGCTCTTCTACCCACTGTTCCATTCTCACATGCCTACAACAGCTGGGGCTGGCTAGGGGTCAAGGTCAGGAGCATGGACCTCCATTCAGATCTCCTACAGAGGTGGAGGAACTCAAGCACCTGAGCCATCATCTGCTGCCTCCTAGGATGTGGATTAGCAGAAATCTGGATTGGGAGCAGAGATAGGATTGGAACCCAGGCACTCTGACATGAGAGGAGGCGGCTTAACCCACTGCACACTAAGCCTCCCCCAAGTTTTCTTTTTACATCTTTTTTTTTTTCAGTAGTTTCTGGAACATACAGTCTTTATTCAATGTAGAAAAAAAGTGTAATTAAACTTTAATTCATAAATGTTGCTACTATGTTTAATTTACTAACTTTTGCAATTTTCTTTTAGAAATTTTATAAAGTATATGTATCTACAAATATAGGTGAAAATACAAAAAAAAACATATAATGTACATTTTAACAAATACATTTCTGAATTCCTTCTGCTCATCTTAGTCAACATTACCAAATACAAGTAGGTGATATCTTCAGAAGTTTCAAAATGCTTTACTACTAAAAATTATTTTTTAAATACCAGCAAAGTTTCACTCTTTTGTTTAAGATCCATTAAAATTCAAATACTGTGCAAGTCGTCCATCCAGACACTTCTTAAAACCACATATTACAAAAGCAAAATGCAAAGACTGAATAAATTGTGTTTATGGTAGGTGGGCAATAATTAGGGGACAAGTAATAAGACCACATAATCAAGGATTTTAAAAGCTTCAATGACAGAGTTTCAGAAAGCCAGCACTTAGAACACAATTCCAAGCCATATTGTTTAGGATAGAAATTTATTTCAATTGTTGCTGGGCAATAAATGCCTGTGGTACACTCATACACTAAAGCTTAATTGGCAATAAAATATCAAGTCAATCACCAGTCAAACCTCCACGGTTAGTTGGCTCCAATTTATCATTAAAGCTAATTTAAAATGCTTGTCGGTTCTGAAGTGAGTCTAAGACTTTAAATAATACTGAGCATGGAAAATGGGTCAGGTTTCAACATCCAGGGGAAAAAAAATGCCTTTCTAATATTATAGGGTTCAAAAACACCACTGTATCTCATTCACTACATGGGGAAACATATCCTTTTGACCACTAAAATGAGGACCGATTCTTGCATTCTTTGGCAGCCAGCCCTTCTTAAAGGGACACGCTGGACCTCAGTCGCCCATATTGATATCACACCAGAAACCTTGATTTCAAACACCCCTATCCTTCAAACACCAGATTCAAACCTGCCAATACACTTAGGTACTCCCTGCCAAGAATTAGACAAAGTGCTCACTCCTCAATAGTTCCAATATCCAGAAGACAACAGAATATTCCATGTGTGTTGAGAGAAAATATTGTTAAAATCTAGAGGTTTGTGTTCAGACTATCTTTTGAATGTAAACATAATAATTTTATGTTTTAACAATTAGATTATATCAGATACAGGATTCATTATATTTGTTTTATTTCACTTGGAATATAGAACTTACAGCCAATGAATGAAAACAAAACACACAAGATTTCATTCATCTTTGAACAATGTTTTAAAAGAATTTTATCACTGCTCGATTATCATATCTCTACAGTTAGAAAATAATATAAAGATAGGTACTGAATCCAACATAGTGTCAGTCAGGTTAAAGCATATATGAGATTTCATGAATCCTAACATATCTGACACGGTCAGGAATGTGAATGCATCCTTTTAGGGTACGTCAAAACCTCAATCTGAAGTGTCTAAATTGCATCTAAGTACTGTATGTACATCTTCAATTACTAGGTTTTTCTTCAGTATCAGTGCTACATTTTAAACTCTATCTTCTTTTACAAAGTTATACAGAATCTCTTGATCTACAAAACCACAGCTAAAATTCCCAGATATTTTCTTTTGCTTTTTATAGATCAACAATTATTTTTTAGAAAATTTGTATTTTGAGGGGCTCATGTTGTGGCACAGTGGGTTGAGCAGCCACTCGTGATGCTGGTGTCTCATAACAGAGTGCTGGTTCAAGTCCTGGCTGGTGATTCTAGTCCATCTTCCTTCTAATGTGTCTGGGAAGACAGCAGAAGATGGCCCAAGTATTTGGGCCCCTGCTACCCTTGTGGGGGACCAGGATGGAATTCCTGGCTCCTAGCTTTGGCCTCGTGCAGACTTGACTGTTGTGGTCGTTTGGAGAGTGAACCAGCAGATGGGAGCTCACTCTCTCTCTCTCTCTGCTTTTCAAATAAATGAATATTTTTTAAAAAGAAAGCAAATTTACATTATGAATTATGCAACAGAATATAACATTTTTAATTTTTGATCCCCAAACAAATCTTTCAATCCTTCATTTGTTTTCATTTTAAAGCTTGCAAAATACCTAAATATAAACCTTTGTTGAAACAGCTTATGCAGAAATCAAGGGTGTTTTGATAAAAAATCCCCAGTACTCTCTTCTGACCACCAGGTATACAGCACCCAAAGACTCTATGGCAATGCTGTTGTTTTTAAATAAAATATTTGGGACAAATAATAAAAAGAATAGGAAACTTAATTATACAAAAAGTTCTAATAACGTCTCTTATCTTATCTAATTTTTGTGTTATAGTTTCTGATCTATTAAGTCTTAGGTCTCCAAATATTAGTACTAAATCATATATATTTATTAGTATCTCGATGTAGTATCTCAATAGATCCACTTTGTAAATCAATTTGATCCAGCAACACTGCTTACTGAACACCTACTATGTCTGAAACAAGGACATCTACTGTGCATCATAACACATGGTATAAAGTATTACATCTTTTAAAATGAAGAAATATGGTCTGACCTTCAACTATCAAGCTAATTGTTGCATGAATTACAAAAACAGCAGATAAGATACTCTCAATCCAATACTCTTATTGGGCTCGTGGTGGGAAGGTTTTGTCCTCGTCACATAAAAGAAAGGCATGGTGCTCATGCATCAAATACAGTACAAAGAGCTACAACTGATGAGTGCATTTGTCAAGCTTTTTTTTTTCCAGTGCTTCTCCCCAAAGCAAGGATGTGGTTCCAACAATTCCGCACACATGCCCCTGCTGTATAAACGAGAAAATGACTGTCTAAGTGACTTTTAGCTCTTCAGCTCCACTGTGCCAAGTGTTTATTCAGGTAGAAGACAATTTTCTAACCATACAATCAGCTCACCACAATAACAAGAACTATTCAACACTAGAAGTTAAAAATAGAGCCCTGTGTGTATTCTCATCTTTATTGTTCCACTGCTTTGGCCAAAATAACTGCTAAAAATATCATATGACAGCTACTACCAAGAGAACCGTAGTTGAGATATTTTAGACCACATCATGGTCTTGTGATGACATACTGAGGGTAACTTTATAAACTGGACCAGATCAACTGATATATTCTCCTTGAGGTCCATCCCCTGAGATGAAGACAAGGACAGAAAATAAATGATGGATTTTTTATCTCTTCAAAACTGCAATACAACTGAAATTTCTATATTGGTTCCCTGAGGCTTTGTAACAGGGACATTTAACAAGGTAGCATGCCACCTGCTTTTCCACAGGATTCAGCAGTTGTGAAAGCCAAGCTGCTGCAGTTCTGAGTTACCCAAGTATAGATGCCAAAGAAATGCTCAGCAAAGCCAAAGGAGAGAGCACAAAAATAAGACTGCTGCTCAAGCAACCGCGGGGCAGGAAAGACTAACCAGAAAGATGCTACAGGGCTGGTTTTCACTTTTCTGTTTCTATTCACAAAGGTATGTGAGGGGTATCAATGAGTTGATTTGACAAGAAATTTTGGAAATATGGATTCAGCGTCCAACGGACCATCCTTAAAGCTCAACCATTTATTTCATCGGGTGGTCTTTTGTCTTTTTCTCCAGAGAAAGCTTGTCTGTGATTATCTTCACATATTTCTTGCTTTAGGAGGTGCTAGAAGTTCCATATTCAAATAGAACTTTATTTTAATGGCTTTAGGCCTTACAAAGTCATTCTTTCAACGTATTGCAGATTCTTGTAGGGAATCCACTTATTCTGTTGTTTTAATTATGCAGTTGTTTAATTGTTGAATTATTCAATACAATGGACACACACTGCATATTCTCCAAATGCAACTTTATACTTACTAATGGTAAGTGTTTGTGATCCAATTAGATGCTGACACACTCTGATTTGTGTTTGAGAGTATATTAGATTTATACATATCTTACATGGAAGTTGGCTGTTTTTGAGATTGTATGAGAACTGAAAAACCCAAAAAGAAATTATATAAACATTATCCTGTGTATACATGTAGAAAGGGGTGAGCAAGAAAGCATGAGTGGAGTTCCAAAATATAGCGGAGAGACAGAGCTTAAAAAATAAAAAGGTGATATAACTTATTGAAAAAAATGAACCTCCAAGAAATGTTTAGAGACATTTCTCCAGATTTTCTTATGGAATCTAAATTGCGTTAGTTTTCAAATTGAAAAAGAAAAAACAAACTGGCAAAGACATAAACTGAGTTTGACCAAGTGCTGCTTCCTTATTCCAGCCAAACGCAAAAGCCCTTGGCCTTCCATCTTCAATTCAAAGCTAAGAATAAGAAGTATTACTATGGACATCACAATAAAATACAAAACTAATAATTGTCTCTACATAGTGATAACTAGTGAATCTGGACTGGTGAATCTGGGTTTACATGTTGTGCGGTCAGA